TCCGCAGCCATACAGCTGCGATCCCCAAAGGGACCTGGGGGAGAGAGAGAGACTTTGCTCAGGCTTCTGCTGCTCCTGGGACCGCTGCAGTTTCTGCCTCAGCTCCTACAGCTGGATTGAAACGTTGGGTAATCAGTGGGGTTTGGGTTTGGGGTTTTTTTTTTTGGAGGCTCGGCCCTGGTGGTGCTTTGTGCTGGTTTGAGCAGGGCAGTGGCCTGCATGTACTCAAGAGGTTACTGACCTGCTGATAAATGGTAGGCATGTTTGGCTGGGGTTTTTTGGGTTTTTTTTTTTTCCTCTCAAAGGATGCAAATTGAGCGTAAGTTGTTTTCCAGACCAATTGTATTGTGTGATACAGTATGGTTTTTTGTTGTTTTTTCCTTGAAAGTAATAGGCATGCCTCAGTAAACTAAATTTAAGCGGAATAGCTCAGGATACCTAGCTTTAAGCTAGTGCTGAGGCAAAACCAGTCTTACACAGACACTGAGTTAGGAACTTGCATGTGTGTGTACATCAGCCACGCTGGAGATAAGAGACAGACGTGGATGTGGAACAGAACACAGCTAATCTAAAAGGCTCTCTTTAACTCATCCGTGAAAGGAATGAAAACCAAACACATGTCTGTTGTATACGTTTTTGTCGTTTACATAGAAGAATATAAAAGATAGTGGCTCAGACCTCCCGTCATCACGTTTTTCCCCCTAGGAAGAGGAGTTAAGAACGCACGAGGATGCTGAGCCGGCTGGCCGGGCGTTTACTGAGCTACCCGTTGTATCTGTTTGGTGGCTTTTCATTGCATCAGTTAGCTCACAGACCAGTTTGGTAGTACGGTTTAAGAAGGTCTTGATTTATGGGACAATACAGGCCACATAACGTACTAAGAATGTCTAAGATGATTTGTGCATGAAGTTTTCTGCGCGTGCGAGAGCGGATTGAGATGAGGTGGAGAATACGAGATTGATTTCTTATGTCACATGCTGTATTGCTTATTTAGATAATTCGTTAAGTTACGTTATCATGAAAAGTCCTCTCCTTTTTAAATGAAGAATTACTGAAGCGTGGTCAGTGTGTGGACAGTTTCCCAGAGTATTTTATGAAATTTTGAAAGACGATGACCTAAAGGAGGAGTATCCCTTGGAGCTGGTGAGACACAAGGACTGTAAGCCTCGACGTACGTCTATTGGGCTAGCTGACCCAATTCTACAGGGGGTATTATACAGCGTGGCTGGAGTTGCTGGAGCAAAACTTAATTTAGCACAGGAATTTGAGAAATAAGGCTGACTGATGAGAAGGAATCTAGACATAATATGCCATACTTTTTTTTTTTTGGCGTTATGTGGGCAGTTTTCTGCTGACCATTAGACTGGTAACCTTGGGACCCTTAGGTGCACTGGAATCCCTTTGGGCCACAGGAAGGTTCCTGACCCTCGCAAGAGTAGGGATCCTTTTCTGTAGAAACCAATGTGCAGCTAGGGTTGGAGATCGCTGAGAAATCTGAACTCCCTTTTACAGGGAACACTTATCAATCACGGAAGCCCTACGCTAATCTCAAGAATGATCTTTGCATGATGGGTGGAATGTGGAGATGGAAGATGTTGAGAAATGTTGAAGGTCTGGGGAAATAAATCCTTTTTTTCTCCCCCGCCCCCCCCCCGGGATAAAATGAAATGTTGAGAATTTGCTCATCCAAAGCAGACAGAAATAGATTGTGTAATTAGTAGGCACAATCAAAGTGTTATTTTAATATAAGTATCTCTAATTATAGAAATATTACGCATTTATAAATACATACCACTAGTTAGGATGTATTCTCTTGCAGGCATCCCTGTGTAGCAGTACATAGTTCACCGTTAAAAGTGGCAACGTCTCACTCCCACCAGCCCTCCTCCGAAGGAGGTCACGGTCGCTTGTGATGGAGAAGGGGGAGGACTCCACGCTCGCAGTCTACCTCTCCGCACGCACCCATAAGTTTAAGACGAGGAATCTTGTTGCACAGAGGGAAATCTAATGTTATAACGTGTATTCAGCAGAAATTGGTTATACTAGAGAATAAGTACTAGGAAATGTATGTAACACTCCATTATACGTATTCCCTATTTTGTAGTTAACAAGCTATGAAGGACTGCAGAATATCAGCCGTAAGTTTGGAGAG